AGCGGCATGCTGATAGCGCTAACCAGCTGGTAAACGTGCTCCACCGCTAACAAACCGTTTACGTTTTAGAGGTGCTCAACAACTCTCTACTGAGGTACAGTGTCCAGATCATTTTCAGGTCTCTGGTCATCATGAAATCTAACAAGAGCCCTTCAATCAAGTAAATTTTTCACAAATAAGTGCCTCCTTAGTCCTGAACTAGTAACAATGAACCACAGCCTGTTTTCGTCATACTTAAGAAACAATCTCTATTGGGGGTAAAATGCAGAGCAGTATTATTGCGTTTTCTCTCGGTATTGCATAGTTTCTAATGTCTATAATTGCCGCAGGAACGTTTCGGCCACCTTCCGCGGCGGTACATTAATAGTGGAGCAAATGAATCAGTGATAGGTGATACTGACAAGCAGCTTCCAAGCATGTTCCTTTGCTAAGTCGCATGAAAGCTGCTCGGAGACGGTCTTTAGTGGACTGGACCTCACCTTCAATCACGACGAGGCATTAGTTTCTAACTCCTTAAAAACCTACAATTATCATCCACTGTCTTTCTCGGATCGTCCTCGGCAGGGAACACCTCGTCATAGCTAGCTTTGATCTATAAGATATTAAAACAATTAATTGGGATGAACCAAAAATTGCATGAACGAGCTCTCCAACTAGACAAAACTCTTCACCTGTCCTTTCCCATCCTTTCTCACCACTGTGATGTTTTCTGATCCAATATCTTCTAACGTGCCAAGCACGTATCCTTCTTGTATATCAGGGGCCCACACCAGGCGACCGAAGTCCCGCGCCGCCATTTCTGAAAAAATCGAATTCTCGCAAAACTATACAACTGGCATATAATTAAGGAATATAAGATGATGGAACCAAGTCGCCCTAGGGGAGCATAGCTCTGAATCTTTGGCCGGATATTAATAGACTCATGCGGACGTAATCCGAAACCCTCACCTAGCCAAAGCAAACCGATCGGCGGTAGGGTTAGTAATTAAATAGACCTCACTGCTATCCATTGCCAATTATAGTCCAGTATGGGTACGATTCTGGACAACTCTCACCCGCTAGCAGTTTACTAGCAATGGAGCAAATGAATGGCTGATGAGCATATAACGATAACCAGCTGATAAGTATGCTCCATCGACAGTAAACTGCTCACATGGAGAAACTGCTCGGGAACATTTGTGTAGTAAACTTTAGCTTATTGTAGTTTTTTTAGTATAGAATCAGAAAATACTAAGCATGACTATATAGCGACAAGGAAAAGACTCACTTTCATCTGTTTGGCGTTGACGTGGTTGAGCTACAGTGCGTGCTTTCGGCGGCACTGTCATCTTAAGTGAAAAAAGATATTTGAGAAATTTTTATTGCAAATCTGCAATTATAAATCATTAAAAGACTGACAATTTACTGAAACGAGAAAAACCAAAAAA